TGGCATTTTTGAGTTAAATTTCAGGCAACGTTTTAGGGATCGCGGTAGCACACGCAACGTGAATGGGCTAAACTTTTTGGAGGATTCTTGACGGTAATTTTACGATTAGAGTAATTCCTTTTTACTTGATGTCGAGCACCATACATCGACTTCACGTTTCCATTTAGGTGGTTTTTAACTTTTCCACGAGATCATTGGATCATCATTAAGCAATCAACTTTTGACAAGGAGAGTTACGTAATGAAATCGTGAAATCGTGTTTTCTACTTTTGCTTCAAATTCATAATCGTAATTTCCACACATGACACGTAAGCGGACAAATGGACTGACAGACGTAAACGCTTCTGCTGCTGATGCCTACCCGTCGGGATACAGAGGGCGCATAAATTTTATGCATCGGCTTTGATAGATGTAGCTTTATATAAACAATAGGTTGCATTCTGATAAACGTCGCAGAGAAATCACATATCACAAGGTCCATTTTTTCTGCGCTCTTTGCGGGACTTAACAAGCCTCTTTTGTAATAAACCGATATGGGAGCGTTTCCTTATAGCTGCGCCTATGAAATACCAAAATTTATACAAAACAGTCATAACAGCAATACACATAGTTTCCTTTTATGGCTGGTGACCCATCACAAGATCAGAATATAGTCCTATGCATAAATAAGATGAATATATTTTCTTATACATTTTCATATTGATAAGAGCTTCATTGAACTGATAATATTTGCCGTGAGATTACGCAAAATATCTCTTATTCTTATTTAGTGAAATTTTTTCTGTTTACTCTAAAATTATTATTACCTTAACTTCGGCACTGTCCTTGATTATATTTTATTCTATACAAATGCATGCAAAAAATCTTTTTGATGTCATCAGTTAAAAAATTGTAATTATGAATATCGTCAATGAACCTGATTATAAAAAAAAAAAAAAAAAAAAATCGTATATAAAAGAGAGAAAAATTGCATAGAAAATGAAAAAAAGTCGTAAATGAAAGAAATACAATTCATAATGTGCAGCACGCGTAGTGTTAGTAAGAATGTAAACATAAATTTCTTTGACAGTCATATTTTATTCTCATGAATAGGAAAATATACAAAATTTTAATGAATACAGGAACGCATTTCTCCAGGATAAGTGTAATGAAGGTTTCTTAATATTAAAGAACAAAATATTGAACACTTTAAGAGATAAGATATACCAAATATTGTACTAAATTTAGTTGATTCGTATAATTTCTATATAGCATATTGACATTAACAACAGCCGCTACGTCTTTTACGAATCTAGGACTAACAACTATAAAAGATTGTATATGAAATTTGCAATCGGTATAAGATTCAATTCGGCAATAGCTGCCTTGAGACGAAAACTAATCAACATGTTTCTCTTAGCCTTTTCTCCAGCCCACTGGCCATTCTAGCCGTAAAAGGTATCTAAAAAAATTTGGGACTAAAGCCAATTGCCACGTTTCCATTAAAGCCCTCATTAGAACTCTTCAAATGACAAAGGCTTTGAATAATTAATCGACCTCTTGCCTTCTTGAAACCTTTAATAAGCGAGCCGGGATTTTCTTCCTTGTTACAATGAACGTATGAAGCTTGTGGTATCTGTTGCTGCTTTTTATGGGAACTTCCCCCCAAAATCATTCTTTCTAATATTTTTTCACAAAGCTACTGAAGAGTGGAGCTTAAACAGAAGAGTAAAGTATGACATTTTTTATCGGTTGTTTGAAAAGACATTTAATTTTCGTGCAAGAGATGACTTATTTATATTTTCGTGTGGTCACATTGGCGCTTAAGCTTATTTACCATTTCATTAAAAGCTATACTTTTTAAAATTGTAATTTCCAGTTTCATAAAAATATTTGTTTTTTGTTATTTCAGTTGTGTAAACGGCCAGTACAATTTTTGCAGCTTCGTCATGCAGTGATTCTTTATTGCTGAACGCTTAGAAGTCTTTAAGAAACTTTGCTTAGGCGTTTGCCCAGTTGTGGGTGTTTATTGTTCGGTTAGCAGAGAATTGGAACGTGATCACCGTTTCTGTATTTGGGTAACCGCATTCATACGATTTAATGCTCACGATTCTTTTTTGGTTCGAGCTTGTGAACTGTGGAACATTGGGAGACGAGCAATTGTCGGACTAATACCGACATAACACAACTAATGTTGGACAGGGTGATTAACAATTAAAACCAGTGCGTCAGTGTGTTAAAGGTGTGGCGATGGAAATTTGAACGAATATTCGTTCGGGGCATAGCAGCAATGTCTAAGCTTTAAAAAAAAATCACAATTGCGATCGAAGTCTGAGTATAGTTTGACTTTTGTTATAGTACAACTTATTTCGGAAAAATTTTCTTTGAATGTGCGTAGTAGGTTTTATATGGTGTCCCATCCAAAAGAAGAAACTCAAAACACGATGAGGTAAAAGCGTTGTTCAAACAACTAACAAAATTATTGAATGCGTGCAGAGACGACGGATTGAGAGAATGCCAACGACAAAACTAGTTTCCAATTCAAAATTTCATTCCGACAGTTTTAATGTTGAAGATGATGCATCATTGAGATCATTCGAAGATTAAATTTACTGTAACCGATTGTTCATACATACTTGAAATGCTTTGGTTTTATTTCAAAACTTCTTATGTAAGAAAATATGGTCAATTTTGAGGAAGAGAAATGGGTTATCTGCAAAAGGGTTAAACAAAAACCCGTGGACTAACATTTTAAACCGGTTCACGCCACTTCGAAAGCCCTTATTCATCAAAAAAAAGCGTAGTGGGTAATCGTTTCTTTTGGACTTCTATTGAACAATACCGCGATTATTTCCGAAGTGTCCTATCATCAGTTGAGCACAATGCCTTAAACGAAAACGACCAGAATTAATCAATAGACAAACTGCAGTGTTTCATTAACGTAATGTGAAATTTCATAGAAGTTTGTTAGGTTTTGAGGTGTTGAGAATATATATTAGATATAGAAATAAGTTCCCTGTGTCGATATTTGTTGCCTTATAATACGTATAAAAAGTTTCGATATAGATAACTTTGCCATTTGTACTTGGACGAACCGTGGTTCCGTTTAGGTCAAAGTGTGAAAAGAAGGATATCAGCAAGCATTTTGATCGAATTGTTATGAAGATCCAGCAGATTTTTCAAACTTCTTTAAAGGCCCTTTGCTGAGTCAAAATTATTTTTATGAAGAGGAAGAATTTTGTTGAGATTTTTATCATTGGATTATATTGATGGCCTTCTCGAAAGTTGGTCGTGTTCAGCTGTCTCGTTATCAACTTTTTACTGCTTGTAAACCGTTGGCTGTATCATCGTCTCCATCAACATTTTCCTTATTTTTCCAAAGCAAAATTGCACAATCATTTAATTCATTTCTGAAATTTTTTATTCAATAACTTTATTCATTTCAAAATTCGCCTTTCAACACTTATAGAAGACTCTTGAATTTATAATAAACAAACGGAATAACATGAAACTTTTAAGGGAAGTTAGTAATGAATGAACTATTGTATTATATTAACTTAATAAGAAAGAAAATATGAGAATTCCTCTATTTTTTAATCAATTATAATATATCAATTTATAATATTTAATTAATTTTTTAATAACTTTGTCGTGGTACGTTTAATCTCTAAAAATTGTAAACTGTATGGTTTTATTTATCTTAATTTTATTTTTTATACTTGACTAATTATTCAAGATACATTCTTTGTACATGTTAACATAGTTGTGGTTACGAAGGTAGAATATGAAGGATAAGGAAAGAGTGTGTGCATATCTTCGACTTGAAAATACAAAGATCACGAATGGCGGGGATTTGATAAGAAAATAAAAAAAGTCTATTTTCAGTTATATCTTAAAATATTATTTCATTGCCTACTTTTAGCAGTTAATGCAAAAATATTTTCCATAATCTACTTTAAGACGCATAAGTAGCAGAGTTGAGATGTGCAATCTGTTTCCTAAACGTAAATTTTTGCTCTTACATTTAAAAATTTTACTAAATATAAAAAATATTTGATGGGATTCTTATATCCTGCACCACATGTATGTGCAAGGAATTTTATTATTTATTTTCATTTTATTTTTATAATTTATTAACTTCGTACGGATACAACACACGAAAGGCCTTAGGCTACTCGCACCGATCAATGCCGAATCGTTTTCTAAAATTTGTCGGCCCATCTATCCCTCTTGCTTTCTTCTGTTCAACCTACGGACTGCAATTTTTACGGTATCGCGATGATATATAGTACATTAACGTGTTTTTGCCGAAGGATGAGCACCACAGAAAATAGTTTGATTCGGACCACTGTTTCGATTACTTCCCGTATAACGCCTTATTTTGAAAAGCCTTCATATGAATATTAACGTATTAAGCAAAGCGATGTAGGGTATTTAATTGTAAGTTATAGCGCACTATGTTTCTTTTACTTCTTTCTTTTTTTAAATTTTGTTTAACAAATTTTATGTAGATTTAATTGTTTGTAGTCATTTGAAGTAAGGCGCTTATATGTGGAACCAAAAGAGAGTGCGCATGTTTCTATTATAACATATCCAATGCACTGGTAAAAGCTCTTGATAAGATATTTAATTTAACATTGAGTATTTAATATATAATTTAACATTAAATTTTATATGTGTAATATTTAATAATTAATTTAACATCAAGTAATAATTAGTTGTAAATTATAAAAAAAAATTTTCCTTTTTTATTGTTCCTTCTTCCTTTCATTTTTGTTTTTTCTCTATTTGGAAAAATTGTTTTCTTTTTTTTCTTTTTTAGAAAAAAAAAATCCAAATTTCTTACCATAGTTTACTAATGTTTTACAATCCACAATTCTTATCAGTTAACAGTACAGGGTAACGCAGTCATCGTCTAGATCAGAACAAGTGACAATCGTCTCCTACACTAAAATAGTTGGCAAATACGCATAATAAATAGTTTCTTGTTAGCACTGAACCGATACGGTTGTCCGAACGGTGGATAAATTCGCGATTATATTTATAACTTCACACATATAAATTAATTATATGTCTTAAATTGTTAAAGCATTAAACGTAGAAAAAGAAAAAAAAAAGAGAGTGAAATTTTCTTTTTAGCTTTTTGTCTTGAGTTTTTTTTTTTATTGATTCAATGTTAATTGAAAATGTAATCTAAATATACTACACTTAACAAAATGTAACAATTAATTGCGAAACGTTTAATGCATCATTAATAGCGCGCGTCAAATTAAAGGCATTTGATAGGAAAAAAAAGAAAAAAAAAAAAAAACAAAAAAAAACTGTGAAAAGCCTACATGACGTTAAAGTAAAGCTACAGATTCCTAATTCCTAATTAAAAAGCGAATTTGATCTATATGCTTTTGTGTTTGTGTGTGTGCGTGTGTTTGTGTTAAAGGGAAATCCATTTACAAATTATAGAGCACACAGTCGAAAAACAAGATATTGAGGTTTCAGGTTAATTTCCATCGTCCTTTTTGGCTTAAGTTGTATTCGCAATTAACCAAAGTAAGTGTCGAAGCATGTTAATGGTTGTTCATCGGTGTTTTGTGTAAATAGTTATTACTACGATTGTGCTGAACTTATTTTACAACAAAAAAAAACTACCTACAATTGATTGCATAGTATGTTCATAGAAATGTGGATGAATGCATGTTTGTATATGCTTGAGTGCGTGTGTGTTTGTGTGTGTGTGTTTTGACTTTGCGTGTAAATAGTCAAACACTCTGTGCCACAGATTTAAGTAAACTTAATGAGCATAGTTTGTTTAAACCAAACCTCAATGGTAAGAAGTTTTTTATTTTGGGGCAAAGGGATAGCTTCATCCCAGTGAAAAAAGAAAAAAAAAAAACATTTCACATTTTAAAAATCTCTATTTATTTTATTTGTACTTTTTTTGAGGGAATGGAGCGACGGAAATTATCTTAAAATTTAAAATTTTCAAAATTAATGCTTTGATTTATTTATATGATAAGCAACAGCAAGTGTTTACGTGTAATTTACGTATTTATAGAAATTACACTCTTTGGCTAATAATTAAATATTTAATTATTGCCCACGTGCTGTGACGGCGAATGCACACACTTATGCGGTCTATCGAAAGTGCTTATCATTTTTTTGCTTTTTTATTTGACCGATGATGATATCGTTCAAAATAATACTATTAACCCTTGACCATGTATTTTTATAACAAATCGTTCAACGATGGGTCTTATCGGTTCACAAGCAAAACGTTTATATCTATTCAATTATTCAAAAAATCTCTACCGGATATAAACATAAAACAGTACGTAGAGGCTACTTATGTGGTTTATATCTTACACTACTTGTGGTACGAGAATATATTAAATTTGTGTGTGTATGTATGAAACACTCAGCCAGAAAGACGTCGCTTTTATTATCTTCAAAAAGTGATGCTGGGTTGATCTAAGTTCTAATCTCTTCCCCTCGTTGTAAGCTATACTCAGAAGGGCTTGCGATATACCCATCCTTTATTAAATCGATCGATTTAGAATCAATTTTTGAATCGATCGGTTGGTTTTGAGATATTGTGATGAAATTTGGTACACCGATGTAGTTTGACCCAAGGATGAACGCTATATTCAGATCGGACCACTTTTTCGCCCACTTTCCGTATGACGTCTTCCTTTTAAAGGTCTTTATATGAATAAGTGAAATAACTGGCTCGATGTGAGGCGTATAATTCCACTACAATGCTCCGAATTATGTAAAATTAAAAAAATCTTCAAAAATAAAAAAAGTCAACAAATTATATTCGGCTATGACCAAATCTTTTATATTCATCATCTTCATCTTAGGAAAGACTAAGAAAATAACAAAAAGATTAATTTCCATATTCCATAACAATGCGTCTGACTGGTTATTTCCATATATAAGGAATATAGGTGAAAATTTTCATCGCATGTCTATCGTTGCTTTCTAGTTTCAGCCACAATCCTAGAAGGGAGAAGCTTTCTTAGTTTTTCTTACATTGTCGGTCATTGCTTTGAGATGCTTAGCTCGTCTTCAACACCAACCTGCACGCAAGAATCTCCAATGTTGCCGTCCAATTGAAAGGTAATGGCTTAATTTTTGCGACCAGGAATTAAACATTCTGTATAAACTTTGATTCATTTCATGGCTCGTGAAGAAATTTTTAACTGTGTTACTGTGGTCACGGTTCTGCACAGCTCTTCAACGTATCTCTGTCCAAAATTTTGAGTTGATTGAGTCCTTCCTATCTAAGATTCGGGATCTTTTTCTCACTGTGAGTCTATGAGGCTCATCGCGGTAAGATTCATTAGAAAAAGGAAGCGGGTTAAGATAAACTGACAAGTGCTAAAGTTAGTGTTAATGTTAAAGTTAGAGTTAGTGTTAAAAAAGTTCTTTTCGAAAGTCAATGTAAAATAATTAAAATATTTAAATTCGAATGAATCTTAAAAGCTTACCGCGGCCAGATTAGGGTTAATTATTGCAGCATTTACGACATTTGATATAGAATTTTTTTATGAAACTTCCTATAAATTTATGTTATGTTATATAATAGGATACCATGTAAGCCTAATCCTCATGTGAGTGTAAACATTAATCATCATTCTTGTCGAGAAGTAATTAACAAAACTTTCAATTCATTTCATAAAAATACGCAATAAAACAATAATTGTTAAAGTTTTCCGAATATATATATATATATATATATATATATATTTGTTACATATGCCCATACAGAAATGTATAGATAACAATGAGTTGCCATTGGTTTTAATTTATTTTATTTTTTTTTATTTTGTAAAGTTTTTCTTTCCCTCTCGATTTTGGCAATCATTCGTTGCCTTCGGCTGCCATTGTAATGGCAATAAATATTTCAAAGGAGGTGTAAACTACAAAAATTTACTTGAGAAATTCTAGCAAAAATTGATACTTTTTGTGTTGTTCAAAAACCATAAATTTCGTGCCAAACCATAAGAAAAGAAACTTTAAAAGAAATGAAAGGAGAAATGTTTATATAAAAAAAAAACTTTTAACACATGGGTTGCAAAGTTTCGGGACTAATAGTGAATATAGTCCAAAAAGTATATTATATTTGTTAAATGGTTGTAAAGCATAAAAGTATGCCTCAAAGCACATATGGATTATCAAGCGAACTAATGTTAACTGCCTGTCGGCCGATTGATCGCTTTCTCTGCCTGTTTAAATCATAGCTATAATCTCAAAGCCATGTAGAGAATTTTTTGTAATTGCCCCTAAGTTAAAGGTAATATTCAATAGATCGGATCGAGCAATCTTCTTCTTAACTGAAAGCAATAAAAGTTTTGCGTAAGACAGGAGAGATTGATATGAAAATTTGTGCTTTTTTAAAACAAAGCAAACTGTATTCAATTAGAATTAATTTTCCTCTTTTTCTATGAAATCGTAGGACCGGTGATATTATCGTATATAGAAATGCAGCCACGTGTATCCTACAGCGCATCCGATGCATAATTTTAGGCGTTACTAGCAAAAAAGAAAGCTTTTAGAGACCGATAGCGTTGGCTTGTTGCAAATTGACTTTGAGTGGAGGATTTGTTTTGTTCGCAAAGATTCTATCCGAACAATCTTCACGTTACGATTACGTTTCGCTCTCCTTTTACTTTGCGATTATTTACGATTATTGTGTAATTTGATGTTTAGCGAGCATAACATTTTCGCTTGTACACTGACATTTCATTTCGCATTAATTTCGCAACATAATCTTTGCCGAAGGAGCAAAGTAGAATCTGAAACGTATTTGAACGACATTTGTTGGACAAACTTCAATAATTATTTATTAAGGAAAATGTCTTCAGCAACGTCCACATATATAAGTAAATATAGGTACATACAGATAAATAAATATTTATATATATGTTTAGGGTTATAAATAAAACGTTTCGGAAAGTTGCTAAAATGTACCTACAAGCACAGATTTTCTAAACTTTTTATAGAGATCTCATTGGTTTATATCGAAAGTCCCGGAACTTTTCATTCAACTCGTTTGATTTTTCTTTTTTTTTTTTGGTTATTTTATAAACCTTCATTTGTCTATGTCAATATCAAACACAAATACTCTTAAAACCTTAACCATTCTTTTGGAAAGTGAAGAAGAAGAAAAACTTATTAAGTTCTTACGCAATTATTTTAACCGCAAAAACTATTTAAGATTCTTGAAATGTTTGTAACGCGAAGGAGATGTGAGTCAGAAATATATATGAAATAACGCAGAGAATTAAGCAATGTCTATTTGTTGGTCCTTCAGTCCGTTTTCTGGCATCATGCCTAGAAATTGGCTTAAGAAAATCATAGAAATTATAGACGATTAATATGCTTGGCATATTTTCCTAAGTAACACCTACTCGTCCGTCCATTTTCTATAGAAAATGCCGGATTCGAACAACAAAAACGGCGTGAACAACAAAATCGATTAGGCAGCATGTCCATCCACGTCATGAAATCGCGTTTAGGAATAACTGTTTAAATTATTTATATATAAATAAATGTATGCGTACATATGTACTTATACATCTTCATCTGCGTGTAGATATCAATTTATGCATCTAGATGGTCGTGGCGAAAAACAGAATCAATCGAACCAGGTCTGTTCATCTGTCCCTCTATTAGAGTCATGCTAGAAATGCGCACTTCGGAGCTCATACATGAAGTAGATATATATATAAAACATCAAAGTGACCAATAGAATCGATTGAGCAATGTTCTCTAAAAATATGCATCGTATATCTGATGGCATAATACAAGTATACAAGTAGAGTTGATTAAGCAATGTTCATCTCTTAGTCCATTTGTTGAAATCAAGCCTAGAAGGTTCCATCTTCGCGCAATCGCAATCGACTTAGCTACAGATGCCCGCCTGGCGGTCCGTACACCGAAATAACATTTCAAAGTATGCAGCGAAAATTGCATGAAGTTTATGTAATGGGCATCAGCTTGGATAGTAGCATTGTCAACTCTCTAGTGAGTGTTCAGCCCGTAAAAGCACAACACTAGCCGATTAAGCATATGCCCACTAGATTATGGCCACTGCATACCTCTTTCCCTTTCATCACTTTTTTCAGACCGTCACTATGGTAAAGTGCAGAGAACACCCCTTGGATGATTGGTCGTATTAAAACGAAATCGTCTGTTAGCCGAAAATTTATTGTATTTCTACTATTAGTGTTGTTTCGTGTTGCTTGTTTCAGTTTGGTCTTTTGCTTTGTTTGTTTGTTTCTAAGATCTTTGTGGTAAGCTCAAAAGCTGTGAAAATTGATACGCGAATCCACCCTATATCACTTGTGGCAGAGGGTATATTAAGTTAGCCCGGATGTGTGTAACATGCAGAATGGCTTAACATGGGCCCATCTTCTATTATACCGCTCGATTCAGAATCGTAATGCGAATTGATTTAAGCCTGTCTGGTCGTTTGTCCCTCTGTCCATGTAAATATGCGTTCAAGCTACAGGTCGCCATTTTTGAGATGTTTTGATGAAATTTCGTACAGTTACGTGCTGTGCCCCAAGAACGAACGCTATTGAAAATGTTTTGCATCGGTTCACTTCTTCGACCACTTCCCGCCCTATTTGAAAGGTGGTTGATTATATGGAGAAAAATTGAAATTTTCCAAATTTCTCAACCAAGAGCGGTTAAATAGTACTTCGACACTATAAGTTGCTATGAAAACTTTGGGCCGGCTGGAGCAATTCTTGAAACCTCTCTCACGTAACGATTAAACTTGTGCTACGTTAGCTTGCGCTTTGGTCCCGCTTCCCCATAAATATGCCGTTGTATAGAAGGAAGACATAATTTTTGTGTTCTATAATAGAAATAAGAATTGTATTAGACAATGTGGTGTAGGGTATTTAAGGATCGTCCTTGCCCGACTATAACGCTTTTACTTTATTGTTTCTGTGGTTGTTGACGATCGTAGAATTTTAAGTGTAAACTGTTAAGTTTCGTATTAAATGTTAAGTATATTCACGGCCAGTCACAAGCGCGAAGAATATCAACTAAATGCGTCTAAGGCTTCGCGTACAATTAACAAAAAGCAAAATTATTTGAACGTAAGTCGGAGACTATGGTTTTTGTGTTTATGTGAGCATATGAGTGAACATGATTCGCAGATTCAAAGTCAACCATCTTATCTTTTATTAAAAGATTTCTTTTTACTTTAACTATTTACCCTTAAATAGAATGTAGGATGTTCAATTGTTTGTAAACAGAATGCTTTAAAGAGAAAACAGCAAAAAAAATCCATCAAAGAATAACAAACGCTTCACAGTGACGAACGCGTGTTACTAGAATTTTTAAATTCCATCAGTTATTATGTTACATATTGAACTGATTATTTTGCTCCCGTGTGTGTGTGTGTGTGTGTGTGTTGATAATATCATGGAAATAAGTCGACAACTTTGATGTTTAACTTCTAGGTGGGCAGCCAAAAAGCGGAATAAATACTGCGGCGTTTTCCGAAGCGTTCTTCACAAGATCTGTATTTAGAATGGAAGTTAGCGCAGCAAAACACGATACCATCCGATAGAATGGAAGTTAGTGCAGCAAAACACGATACCATCAGTTGTATTCTGTCGTTGTAATCGGCCACTAGTGATAAGAGAAAACAATGTAATTTCGTGCCTGGTACCATTAGTGTTTGTGATATTTTTGTATAAAATTTTGATATTCCCTAGCAATGATACTTTCTGATGTCCATTATTTGCATCTGCCTTGTGAGTTGTGACGTCTTTTTCATATCGCTCAGAATGTGGCTGTATGTACCAATCATAAGACGGAATGGCTTGAATAAATGCCAAGAGGCAAATAATACGAACCTTAGTCGTCGTGGTCAGCTTTTCAATAGTGAACAAGTAAGAAACTTACTTAACTGGGACCGAATCTTTTATACCCATCATCGTTGTCGTAGAAAAGACTAAAAAGAAAATGAAAAAACTAAATTTCCACAATTCTTAACATTAAATGGGCGTAGCTGGTTATTTTGGTGGGTGTTTTTATATTGTGTCTATTTTAGTTTATGAGCAATGAGTAAAAAACATATAATTCCTGTTTTTCTTAGTGTACTATATATTTAGTAGTGTTTCCTTTCCTTAGTTCATTATGAATGTCAACCTGCGCGCAAAAACTTCCAGTATTTCTGTTCAATATTAAGTCGAGAGCTTAACTCTTGCGGCTAAGAGAATATTTGCATGCATTACAAAGCCGGACAGACGGACATACCTAAACCGATACAGCTTTTGATGCTGATCATGAATATCTTTAAAGCGTGCAGCTTCGCTGTCACAACCACATATAAATAAAAAGACTGACGGACGGACAAGTGTGCCAAAATTGATTCCAATTTTGTTGCTGATCAGGTATCCCTGAAGCTTCCTTCTAGGTTTTGCAATCCTTCTAATTCAATGAATATACAAGCATCCTCCGCTAGTAGGTCTAAAATATTTTTAAAAAAATTCAAGTGTTTTAAAAATTTTTACTTAAAAAAAAATGTCCGTCTTTCCATAGAAGTGATTAACAAAACATGAACACAGACCATTAAGAATATTTTGTACATAAAAATCTTGTTGGCAAACTTTTTATTGATAAGCAACACACCATTGACAGCA